TGTTCGCTCTTGGGACTAAGAGAGACCAGACATCAATCCATGCTCTCCAAATCTTTCTGAACAAGTCTCTCATATTTCAAACTTGTAAGTAATAGCCAGGCAAGGCGTATTAGTTTATCCTTGTTTTCTCAACTTGTGAATGTTCCCTTTGCTAGAGGGAGGTTTATCTCTCTTTTGCTGTAACTTTGAAACTAAGGCTAGAGGGGGTTCCTCTGGGCTCTTTGAATCTGATTACCCTGTAAAGTTATTTTCCATCCTGATTTTACAGAGATGATTTTTACCTTTTCTTTTTAATAAAATCCTTCTTTTAAGAACCTGACTGATTTTTCCAGGGGTTTGGGTCTTTGATCACTTTGTAACCAATTGGTTAGGATATTATACTCAAGCCTCCCCAGGAAAGGGGGTGTAAGGGCTTGGGGGGATATTTTGGGGGGAAGAGGAACTCCAAGTGGTCCTTTCCCTGTTTCTTGTTAAATCACTTGGTGGTGGCAGCGTACCAGGTTTTAACCTAAGCTGGTAGAAATAAGCTTAGGGGACTTTCATGCAGGTCCCCACATCTGTACCCTAGACTGCAAAGTGGGGAAGGAACCCTGACAAGTGTAAAGGCAGCATGGTCCAATGGAAAGGGCACTGGCCTAGAAGTCCCAGGGTCTGGATCCTTCTCGTGACTCAACACATGTGGCCCTGAGTAAGTCACTTCACCTCTCTGTACCTCAATTTCCCCCTCTGTTAAATGGGGATACTCACCCCCCTTTGTACAGCACTTGGAGATCTAGGGATGAGGACCGTTACACACTAGCTTTTCACTGGGGTGAAAATGGAATAAGGGCAAACGCATCCATAGCTAGATTTAAAAACATTCTTCAATGACCTACAACACAATGTGGATTTCTATGTATTTTAGGTGTTGCTAAAATGCTTAGCCTCATGATATCTAAGCACTAGCCTAGAAGTCACAACATATCCCGTATCCAATATGAACATGTTCACTAGGACATGGCCTTATCCCCTCTGGAGGGGTCAAAACAAAGCTCAGTTTGTAAATGCTTTAGATCAGGGACAGTTTCATCCTAGATCTTTGTACAGCACCCAGCACAACAGGGCTCTGATCCCAATGGGGCCTTTGGGCACTACCCCAATATAAATCATAAATAATAATTCATCAGTAAGGCTGGAAATCTCAGGACTCTTCTCTTCAACAGAGCAATTAAGCAACCGAGTTACTCCTAAAGATAGCACCCTACCAGTAGACACTGCAGTCTCAGCCACATAGATAAAGTGCCTGTACCTGCTTTCTAAGATGGGCTGGAGGCAGATCTGGTTAATGAGAATATGAAAGATTTCCACCACCTTCTTCCTGGAATGAGAAAGCCTCCTCCACAAGTCAGCCAGTAAGCTTCAGAGAGAGAGAGAGAGAGAGAGAGAGATGGAGTTAGTCTCAACACAAGAAAAAAAAAAACATCTCTGTGGCTTGGGCCCTGCTCACTTTAGAGGAGAACCTGTGTTAGCTGAGCCATTTTGAATGCTTAGGGCTTGTCTACATGAACAATTAGACCACGGTGAGCTGGGGTGTGACTCTACCCCGCACTAGCCTGCAACACTCTAACTGACCTTGTGCACCCTGCTGACATGTGTTAACAGTCTATTAGAGCACTTTGAGCTAGTCCTCTTTGAAACAGGACTAGATCAAATCGCTCTAATAAACTGTTAAACATATCAGCAGGGTGCACACAGACAGACTCCCAACAGGCTAATATGGGGTAGATTCACACCCCAATTTGCCAAGCTCTAAGGGGTTCTCAAACTGGGGGTCATGACCCCTCAGACGGTTGCAAAGTTATTACATGGGGGTTGCGAGCTGTCTGCCTCCACCCCCAAACCCTGCTTCGCCCCCAGCATTTATTATAATGTTAATATAAAAAATGTGTTTTTAATTTATAAGGGGGGGGGTCATACTCAGAGGCTTGCTGTGTGAAAGGGGTCACCAGTACAAAAGTTTGAGAACCTGGTCTAACTGTTCATGTAAACAAGCCCCCAGTTTGTCTCTGCTGCAAGGAGCAGACAGAACCATTACACAATCTGTTTGAATACATATTCTAAACAAAGTTGCTCTATAAATATTTTTTAAACACTAGGAGTACTTGTGGCACCTTAGAGACTAACAAATTTATTAGAGCATAAGCTTTTGTGGGCTACAGCCCACTTCTTTGGATGCATAGAATGGAACATATATTGAGGAGATATATATACACATACAGAGAGCATGAACAGGTGGGAGTTGTCTTACCAACTCTGAGAGGCCAATTAATTAAGAGAAAAAAAACTTTTGAAGTGATAATCAAGATAGCCCAGTACAGACAGTTTGATAAGAAGTGTGAGAATATTTACAAAGGGAGATAGATTCAATGTTTGTAATGGCTCAGCCATTCCCAGTCCTTATTCAAGCCTAAATTGATTGTATCTAGTTTGCACATCAATTCCAATTTGTTAGTTTCTAAGATGCCACAAGTACTCCTGTTCTTTTTGCGGATACAGACTAACATGGCTACTACTCTGAAACCTTTTTAAACACTGTTCCCTTGGTTCTCACTAGCTAAGCAAATGGTATTTAAACCATCTTAGCAAGAACTCTTGCTTTCAAACACACTGGGGCAAATCTATGAATGGAAGCATACCGGCTCTTTTACATGCTTGCACTTTATTACAGGTTTAGGATGCAACTACCTTGGGATAGTACACTATGCAGTGCCTCTCCCTAGAAAGTAGAAAAGGATTTACCGTATATACTCGTTCATAAGCCAAATATTTTTGGTAAAAATGTGACGCATCAAAGCGCGGGGGTCAGCTTATAAACGGGTCTACACCAAAATTTGATGATTTTAAACTCTATGGAAACATTGAATTGAATATCTAATACATTGTCATTTTGTTTATCTGGAGCGTCTGCAGGCATGGAGCCCCTCAGCTCCCAGTGTCTGCGGTTTGCCGTTCCCAGCCAATGGGAGCTGAGGACACTGGGAGCTGAGGGGCTCCGTGCCTGCAGCGCTCCAGATAAACAAAAAGACAATGTATTAGATATTCAATTCAATGTTTCCATAGAGTTTAAAATCATCAAATTTTGGTGTAGACCCGTTTATAAGCTGACCCCCGCGCTTTGATGCGTCACATTTTTACCAAAAATATTTG